TCTCTTTGAATCTGTTTCATATTTTCTAGTTCTTTCCTGTATTGTTCATTCAGGGTTTGCATCATTTTTCTTTTTTTTTTTTTTTTTTTGGTTTTTCTCGGTACCGGGAACCGAACTCACGACCTTGCGCTTGCCAGGCAGGCGTTTTTGCCACTGAGCTAAATCCCCAGCCCCTGCATCATTTTTCTATGCTCCTCTATTTTTTTAAATTATGTCTTCTTTAGATATTCTGAGCAATTCTTTCATTATTGTTGTCATTTCTTTTTTTACCTGAGATATTGTTTCTGATCTGATTTCTTCTTTAGCCTGATGGAATTATTTCTTTACTTCTGTTGCTATCATTTCAGAAGTTTTAGGTGTATGACTTCCACACTCTTCTATGTCAGTGTCTTCTGGACTTGTTCTGGGTGAGGTAAAAGTCTGAGACTGCATTTTTCTCCTTTATTTTGTCATTTGTGAAGATCTCAAGTTTCCCCAGGGCTCAGCATTGCTCAGAGCATTTCCCCTCCCAGGCAGCTCACCAAAGGTCTTGAGTTTTTCTGGGACTCACCATAGCTCCTGGGACAGTGGGGGCCAGGTGGAGAGCAGCCTCTCCCCTCCTGGGCAGCTCACCAAAGGTCGTGAGTTTCCTTGGGGCTCAGCATCACTCCAGTGACAGTGTGGGGGGAAATGGAGGGCTCACTATGGCTCTCATAGCTCTCCAGGGCTCAGCGTGGTTCCCAGTCCCAGCTCTTAATACTATTATGATGGCAGTTAAATTCCAGTGTGTGTTTTGGAGAAGACATTCATACCATCCTGCATGTGAACCTCTGGGTACACCCCACCCTTTGCCTTTTGTTCCCAAGCCTGGTTTTAGCCTGCACTTTCTTACACCAGTGCAAAAAAGTGAGGTTTAAAACATCATTGAATAATTCTTCACCAAATTGTTAATCAATGTAACAAATCTCCTTCATCACCTGTAGGCCTTAGTTCTTTAAGGGTTTGCTGCTTAAAATAACAACTATGCTTTGCACTCACAGTTTTGTGGGTTGGTCATTTGGGCTGGGTCAGCTGGACAAGTCTCTCAGCTGGGCTCACATCTAGAAGTTCGGTTTACATCCATGATGGCTGAGACAGGTGGGTCTAAGCAAGGAGAGCTCGTCTCTACTTTGCATGGCCCTCCATCATCAGCAGGTGGGTGTGGGCTTGTTCCCATGGCTCAGGTCCCAGTCAGCATTCTGCTACACTCTTTTGGTCAAAGCAAGCCATAAAGTGAGCCCAAATTCTGCAATACTGATGATTTAACTCAAAGCCTTCACATTGAGCTACATACCCAGCCCCCTTTTTATATATTTATTTTGCAATAGGGTCTCGCTAAATCACTAAATTGCTCTGGCTAGAACTGAACTTCTAATCCTCCTGCCTCAGACTCTCAGAGAACTGGGAATAGAGATGTGTGCCACCAGACCCAGCCAGATTGCCACTTCTTAATGGGATGAGTTACAAAGTCACACTGTAAAGGGGTGTAGGTACAGGAAGTATAGACCAGGGGCTACCTGTGCAAATACTGACCATACTAGGCCAGTGTACAAACACCCAGTTTTTTGGGTTTTTTTTTGTCTTTTTGAGACAAGGTCTCATTGTACAGTTCAGGTTGGCCTTGAGCTCACTTTGTAGCCCAGGCTGGTCTCAAACTCACAGTCATCCTCCTGCCTCAGCCCCCCAAGTGCTGGGATTACAGGCATGTACCACCACACCTGGCCAAACACCCAGTTATGAGCGAGGTGGTGGTTGGTATTTCTGTGTCTGTGAGTGGTTACATTTTCTGGTCTTCACAGGTCCTTGGCCATGGCTCCATTCACAACAGTGGTAGTTTTCGTGGCATCAATTGCTCTCTGCCCTTGGGCCTGATGGCTGTGCCTCAGCTATGTGACCTTCTCTCAGAGAAGTTGCATGGAAGCCCTCAAAGGTTTGTTTTCGTGTAAGGGACTCCCGATCCTTCCAGTCAGCTGTCATAGCTGTGGCTTATTGTCAGGACTTTAGCCACTTATATCTAATTCTGTGCACTGATTAATGGAGGTGGCTTCTCTTTTATTGTCCCCCTGTGGCAGCCTACCTCCCCAGTGGCTGGGGCAGGTCTGTAGCCATTTATGGGCAAAGCCAGAGCCCTGCTGTCCTCATTCTAAGACATGGTGGGGCTTGAGGAGTGGGTCACATCCTGCTCTGTGACCTTGACCAACACCATTCTAACCTCCACAAACTGCTGCTGTTGTGTTTGTAAATTATAAAGCTTTCTCTATCACCATTGTCACTTTCCCTCTTTCAGTCTACCAGTGTACAAACATGCTATCACTGTTCCTGTCTTAAAACACTATCTTTTAACTCCATGTCCCTTCTATGTATTATTCTAGTTCTTTACTTCTTCTTAGAGATGAGCTCTTGAGAACTGTCTCATTGTTCCCAATCTGAGGGCTTCTAGCCCCCTTGAAATCTCGCTGGTCAGGATCCATCCACCACTCTTCTGAGACTCCTCTTGGCAAGGTTGCTTGCTGAGGCCGATAGTCATCCTCCATCCTGCCTGAGTCCCCAAGGTGGCCACTTTCTGCTCCGGAAACACTCCCCTCACTTGGCTTCTAGGACACCTGGCTCCTGTGTCTCCTCCTCCCTTGCTGGTTTGTCCCCATTTCCCCAAACACAGAATGTTGGAGGGTCCTGAATTTCAGGCTCCAAGCCTTTCCTCTTCCTTGTGCAATTCCATCCTGCCTCATGGCTTTAAGTACCATCTTTATGCAATGACTCTCATATTCATGTCCCCAGCCCAGGTCTCTTCCCTGGACTCCAGACTCACAAATACAATTAACATCTTCACTAGCATGGATGTCTAACCCGCATCATGAATTTAACATGCTGAAGACTGAGTTTTGATTGTTGCCCAAACTTGCAAGCTTCCCTAGGGATGGAGAAGGCCCTCTGGTAGAGAAGCAGTGGTATAAATAATCCTTGCTCATGAGAAGGGAATCTGCCACTGGGATTTTAGCTTTTTATTCCCTGGTGTGTCCTGCCCTTTAAACAGTGTCAGACACATTTTTATGAGGTATGAATGCTATAGTAGACATTTGGTGGTTCTGGCGCCAGCATTGCTTTTCCCTTTTATGATCAACTTCATTCCTGTTTTTTCTTGGGAAACCTCCTAGGTCCTGAGTATGGGTTCCCCTCACCTCCAACCCAAGGGCTTAATCCAATCAACTTCTCTTCCTCCCCCTCTCTGCCCCCATGACCACAGTGATCTGCTCAGGAATGGACACATGACCCATTTTGTCTCACTGGGAGAAAACTTGCTGTTGCTGAATGGTTTGTCCCAATTTCCCTGACCACGGAATGTTGGAGTGCCCTGAGGTTGGGCACAGCTGGTATTTAATACAGCTGGTATTTAAAGCCATGAGGCAGAAGGAGAAACTCTTGTTCACTCTTTCCCTGAGTGATGTAGCATAAGGATATAAAGCCTTATACAGCTATTTTGCAATCACAGGGAAGCTTGCAGCTTCTGGGTTGATTGCATAAACCCCAAAGAGAAAGCCAGTAAGCAGAGAGCAGAGGGACAGAATCTAATGTTTGGAGAAATCTTTTGGAGCTGCTTGATCAAGTCTCAATTGAAATCACATCTAAATCTAGACTTTAACTGATATATCTAACAAAATTTCTTCATGTTGTGAGTCACTTGGATATAGATTTTCTTTTATTTATGGCCACAAGAGTCCTCACTGACTGTATATCTAATTTACAGGGTTGTTGTGAGGTTTAAATTAAATAGCACTTGGTGAAGCATGGCATGTGAATAGCACTTGATAAATGGTAACCCGTGTTGCTGTTATTATGGATTTGTTTTTACAGTTATGTGACCTTTTTGTCTACATCTCAGCATTGACATGTTTCCATTATTCTCTTCCATATTCAATTTCTCCTCCAAAGGAGGGAGGCTGAGGACTTGCCCAGCCCCAGTTTCTCAACCACCAGGCTGGGCTTCACAGCCTCCTGGCACACAGAGGGGTGAACACTAGAGTCACTCCGCTGAGGTCTAACTCTTCTGATGTCTCCTTTTCTCTTGTTTGGCGAAATTTGTCCACTTCAAGCTTACACATACATGTTCTCAGCAAAGCACTCCAAATGCTTTTTTTCAGAGATCTACACCCACGTGAAAACAATGGCAACAAGAAAAAGGTGGAAACTTTCTAGAATAGGCCCAGATTTTGCAAATGTGATAAAGAGGTTATTGTGTGCTCGAACTTTTCACACAAGAATTGGAGGCAATTTAACACAAGAATAATAAACAGGGGAAGGCTAGCTAGTGCGGAGCAGACGGGCCTGAAGGGCAGTGCTAAGCATTTCAACTTCTTCCCCTCTGGACTTCTGGAATCAAGACGACTGAATGCTGGTTTCCTCAGCTGAAAATAAAGGTAATGCCCTTGGGAAAACCATAAATATGGCAGGTTTTATTTCTAGGGTGGTTGGTGGACTAAAGTTTTCAAGAAGCTACTATATTATGTGGCCAGCATTTGACATTCATGAATGTAATCCTGACCATAACTCCATATTAAAGATGAGAAAACCAAGGCTCTGAAAGTGCAGGTCTCTTACAAGAGGGTGCACAGCCAGCATATGAGCAGAGTCAGGATCAGTCCTCAGTCTGTCCTGCTGCGTACACCACAGTTCTGTAAAATGGGATAACAGATAACAGGGAAAAAGAGTCATGGCCAAATAAGTTTGAGAAACACTGATGGATATGGATATATAGACACACCCAGTCATATAGTGATACCCATACTAGTCATTCAATAAACTGTGCATACTTAAAGGATGCAACTTGATATGTTCTGATATATAAATTGCTACCTGGGAGACCATCAGTACAGTCAAGATGGTAAGCATATCAAGCGTTTCCAATTTTTCCTTCTCCTATTGTGTAATTTTTCTCTCCTACCCCTTCTGTTCTGTTCCTTCCATTTCTGATCCCAGTCACTAATCTGCTTTCTGTCACTGTAGACTTGTTGCATTTTCTAAAGTTTTGTATAAATAGAATCAGGCAGTAGAAACTATTTTTGTCTGTCTTGTTTTACTCAGCATTACTTGGAGATTTACTCATGTTAATACACGTTTATTCATTTATAATGCTGAATAGTATTCCATTGGAAGAATGTGCTACACTTTTATCTGGGTGTGGTGACACATATCTGTAATTCCAGCACTCTGAGAGGCTGAGACAGGAGAACTGCAAGTTCTAGCCCAACCAGGACAACCTAGTGACTTACCAAGATCCTTTCTCAAAAGTAAATATGGAAAAGGCTGGGATATAGCTCAGGGTGAATCCCTGTTTTTACCCCCAATTAAAAAAAGATAAGAAGGAAATTAAACAAAAAGAAGAACACGCCACAATTTGTTTATCTGTTCATCTACAGATGCGCATGTTGGTTGTTTCCAGTTTGAGGCTATTACAAATAAAGCTGCTATGAATGTTTGTGATCAGGTCTTTGTGTGATATATACTTTCTTTCCCTTGGGATAATACCTAACCATGGAATGACTAGATTATATAACAGATATATAACCAAATTTTAGAGAAACCGTGAAACTCTTTTACACCATGTGACATCCCCACTAGCAACACGTGAGAGGTCCAGCTGCCCCTCAACATCTTCACCAGCACTTTAATGATTAGTCTTAATTTTGGCCATAAGGAGAGGGATATAATCACCTCTTACTCAAATATCTTATGATATTAATTGTATTTCCTATTAACTATGAGTATTAGGTTTTTGTGTGCTTTTGTACCACCTCTCTCTCTATATATATATATCTTCTAGTAAGTGTTCAAAGCTTTGGCATATGTATAACTGAATTTTTCTCTTTTTAAGAAATAGAGTCTTGTTATGTCCCCCAGGCTGGCCTAAAAATCCTGGCCTTAAGTAATTCTCCTGCCTCAGCCTTCTGAGTAGCTGGGACTACAGATATGTGCCATCCCACCCAGTGAGTTATTTCTTTCTTATCATTGAGTTTTGAGAGGTTTTTGCATAATCTGGATACAAGTCTTTTTGTTTTTTTTTCATTTCAGTATCTGCCTTTGTGTTATTGACTATTAATTTTTTTTAATTTTGATTTTCTTCAAGTTGGGGTTTATATTTGCATTCTCACAGTTTTTTTATTTTAAAGAGAAAGAAAAAACAATAAGAACAATGATAAAGAATTTTAAAACACAATGATAGGAAATTAACAATGTTTATTGTATTGCATTTTGTTATCTTCAAAGTAGTTGCTCCACCTATAAGATACAGGCATACAAAACTGATCCAACAATGTGAGCATAAACTGTTCCTTTCAATGAGCTAATAGAAATTAATAGTATAATTATCTTTGCTATCTTGTGTACATATGTATTTTTTTCTTCCCCCATCCCGGTTGTTTTCTTTTGAGCAGTTTCTTTCCCTTTCCAATATCTATTGTGTATTTCTAATAGTATTTTCTGAATAGCAGAAATTCTAAATTATAGTAAAGTCCAATATATGGTACATTTCTTAAGTTTTATTTTACATTGTAAAATTTTTAGTTACATTCTGGAAGCTTTCTTTGGCTTGATATCACAACTTAAAAGTTTGCTCTTTGGCACTGCATTCTATTACTCAGCTTATATATTGAGTTTTTCTCAATTACCATTTTAATTTAATTCTTACAATAAAAATCACTCAGAATGTTGCAAAATGGTAGCCCTGCATCTCTCTGAGAATATCAATTATGTGTCTCAGTGCAGTCTAGCAACTCTACCTCATCAGGTCTAATTCTGCACTTGGTCTTACATGGAGCTGGATTTCCTCAGTTGCTCCGTGATTCTTAGCTGAGAAATCATCTTTATGTGTGAGGATCTCTGTTAAGTTATCTTCGATTATTGCAATCTATCTCCAGAATAGAACACAAGAGTCACACTGAGCCACCAGGAGAAGCTCTCTAGGGGTGGCAGCACCTCATTCCTTTCTGGTGTCACCAGCCCCCGGGACACTATCTGGTGTCCTAAAGCTTCATATTCCTTTCTCTTGCAAGGAGGTAGACACCTAGGTTGCTGCTGCCTAGTCCAAGGAGCCAGCTCCTACTCAGTTAATTTTCTACCAGGAACTGCTCCCAATCTGAGGTACCTCAAAAGCTCTGAGTGTCCTTGGAGTTGTCTCTCATCTTCCACTCTTATGCGAGTTGTCTCCCAGGGCTGGAGATGTAGTTCAGAGTAAAGCACTTGCGTAGCATATATGAGGCTCTTGGTTCCATCTCCACCTCTGCAAAAATAAAAAATAAAATAGTCTTCTCACATGTATACATCATAGAGAAAAGGATTACAGATCCTTTGAAAAAATCTGATTCCTCTGTGTTTCATGACTCAAGAGATTTTCAAGATTTCACATCTATAAGGAAACCCCTTTTAGTTTTCTGGTGTAAATAAGTAATGTAATTTATAGGAACTTTGGATATGGGGGGCACTGTAATAATGCTCAGTCCTCCAGCCTGAACTGGACCTGTAGGTGAAATTAGCACCCTTGGTACTTGAAGGTCCATGCATGCAGACCACACATACCATATGCTGTCATGGAAGCTTGGTTATCAACTCTGATGATTGCATTTTCTTTGGGAAAGTCTACAGAGGAGAAAGCACAGCCCTTTTAGACATGGAAATGCGAATATCCCCATTCCCTATTACAAAGCTTCCAGTAGCTCCCACTGCCATTCAGATGAAGCTTCAGTTGGTCCCATAGGCCCTTCATGCTCTGTCTCCACTGTCTCTCCACCTGGGGTGGTATCCATTCTCATTCATACACTTGTAGGGGACACGGCTTTCCAGGGATGGGAGTTTGATGACAGCGGGAAGGAAGTGGGCAGGGCAGGGGCCGTGGGAGCAGGCAATGAGCCCTAGGAACAGGCCTTCGTGCAGGCGATCTCAGGCAGCCAAGAACACTGAACCCCATCCTCAACTTTACAAGTGTAGAAGGCTGAGGCTTCACTTACCTTCCCTTCTCTTCACTGGCTTATGGAGAAAACTCCATTTTTAGTGCCGTAGCCTGATGAATTGACATGATTGCATGGGGGATGGCTGATGCTCACAGGCACAGACAGAAAAAGAAAGTCAGTTGGGGCTGTCTAGGTACTTCCCACAAAGTGTTTTCAACTCTAAATTAGCTCCAAGTTTATCTCTTAAGCATATTTGAAATATGAAAATAATCTCAGACTCTTACCACCTGGAATGTCACTTAGATATGCTAAGAGCACAGGAGGAGGAGAGTGTGGGCCTTGTCTGTCAGGACTAGGTGAGTAAGCCTTCATTAAACTACTTCTTACACGAGGCCACCTGGCCCACAGATTGGACAAATAACTGCAGTATCAGTTGCTCATGTTTTATATTTCTTTTAAAATGTAACTTCCATGTGGGTTTAGCTGCTCCTTTGTCTGGCTGTCACTTTTGTACGTATGTGACTGTTATCATTTCTACAGATAGAAGAAATGGTGTCCCTTGAGGTACAGCAATCAGCCCTGTGGCAGCAGTTGGTACATGCAGATCAAGGCGTGGATTAAGTCTTAAACCTCAGTCCACAGTGGTCCTTACCAGAGGGTAGCTTGGGACAGTCTCCGCTTTCCTCTGGCCTGAATGCAATCTATTGTGTGGCTTTCACCAACAACTTTAGCCTCTGATCCCCCAGGCAAAGTGGTATGTATTAATTATTTATTACTGGGTAACGAATCATCCCCAAACTTGTATTTCTATCGTATGTAACAAAGATTTTCAAAACATGCTGTCTTATAACAACTAATAATATTTATGTCACAGTTTTTATCAACCAGGAATTCGTGAGTGTGTTATCTGAGGGCTTCTGGCTCAGACTTCCCAGGTGAAGTTAAGATACTGGCTGAGGTTATGATCACCAGGTTTCCCTGCGCCAGGCCGTGTCCCGGAGGTGGCTCCTCACACAACGGGTACATTGGTGCTGCTTGTTGGTAGGAGTCTCCGTTCCTCTCCCTGGGCTGCTTGAGTGTGCTCACAACATGACAGCTGGCATGGCCTTCTCTGTACTGAGAAATCAGAGAGTAACATAGAAGGGGCAGTGCTTTTTATGGCCTGGTCACAGCAGTCATGCAATATCATGAGCATTAGAAGGGAGTCACTAAGTTTGGCTTGTATTCGAGGGAAAGGGAATTAATGTCTATCTTCTGAAAGAACAAGTGTTAGTAAAAGTGTGGATCTGTGTTCAAACCACCACAGGGCCATATTTCCTGCCGCTTGTGTGCACTTCCTATCACTGTGCTTTGTTGCCTCTCACCGCTACTCACCCCACCACAGCCATGCACACCCTGTGTGGTTTCCCTTGCGTGAAACTCTATGTTCAGATGCCACAGTAGGTTGGACCTTGAAGGGAAACAATAGAATTCTAGGGGGAAATGTTAACTTCTGATTAGAGGCCATGGACAGCGGGCTAAGGCGGCCACAGAACTGGGGATGGGGAGGGAGACAGTCTATCGTCATCACATATGTGTAGCTGGTTTGACCTATTTATTTTTATCTGGAGACATAAAGGAAAATAAGTCACAGCTTCTT